ACATTAATGGGATGTGTTTTGGGATATCCTGGATTTTCTCCAGGACTTGTTGGTCTGTGGGAAGCTGAGAATGAAGTGGGAATGGGAATATTCCAGGACATTAAGGCAATAAATATTGGAAGTTTGTGCTGCTGTGAATGGGGTTGACAGTCCTTTCCAAAGGAAATATTCAGGTGGTTAGAAATGATTCTGGAACAATGGATGGGTTGAATTCCCAAAGAGGTTTTTGCCTGGAAAATTTGCCCTTGGGCACCTTTAGAAACCAAGTGTTGGGTAAAGCCTTGGAGCTCTCAGGGGAGTCAAAACTCATCCACAGCTGTTCCCAAGCCTATCTCGGATCTCCACCTGGAATGTGAGAGTACTGGAAGCAAACTGTGGATGGGATTAACGTTCCTAAAGATTCCTGCTCTTTTTTTATTCCTTTAGTTTCTCCCGGCTTGGAGAGCGTTGCCCTTGGAGAGGAGGCTCAGCCCGACGAGCCCATGAACGAGGACATCCGTATCCACAGCTGGCCTTGCTCCTACTACCTGGACACCGGGAAGCAATGGATCTCTGGGAAACTCTCCCTGACTCCCGTCGGGATCAAATTCACAGCTGACAAAACCGGGGAGCTCTTGGTCGACTTCCACCTTTCCGGGATCAGCGAGATCAAGAAGGAATCTTCCAACCTGATCTTCAGCTCCCTCACCATCCTGGAGAAGAACACCAAGCACTGGTTCAGCTCCCTGCAGCCCAACAGGAATGTGGTGTTCAACATCCTGGAGCACTTCTGGAGGGAGCAGCTGCTGGAGAGCCGAGGGGCGGGAGCGGCAGGAGCGGCCCCGCGGCCCGGGAAGGGCAAGGAACTGACGGGAATGTTGGCGGGATCCCAGAAACGCCTGGAGGACACGGCCAAGGTGCTGCACTACCAGGGGGAGCAGTTTGACAACATCATGAGAGGGCTCAACAAGATCGAGGGGGACATGGATGTGGCCGACAGGTAATGGGGTGGGAGCATCCCAAGGGCCGGGAATTCGCGGAGCGGATCCGCGGGAGGGTGTTCCTCAGACCAGGAATTCCCGGGGCGGATCCACAGGAGGGTGTTCCTTGTGCCAGGAATTCCTGAGACAGATCCACAGGAAGGTGTTCCTCGGGCCAGGAATTCCTGGGGCAGATCCGTAACAGAGTGTTCCTTGAGCCAGGAATTCCCGGGGCAGATCCATGGAGGGTGTTCCTCAGACCAGGAATTCCTGGGGCAGATCCACAGGAGGATGTTCCTCGTGCCTGGAATTCCTGGGTCCCTCCCAACCCAAACCTTCCTGGAATTCAGTGATTTTATATATAAATCTCCTCTTTCCTTCAAATAACTTTCCCAACCCTTATGAATTCCCACTCCAAGTGACAGAAACGATGGAGATCTCCGGAATATTATCATCCTATAAGTTATTAGTGAATGGGTAACTAATTAGGGGAAATAAGGGAATTAATGTCCCCACTGGCGTTCAGGTGTTCATTAATATGGCATTCCCACTTTTATTGGATGGCCTGGAATATTCCTAAATTGAAATCCTGGGATTTTGCTGCCTTTAGAGACAAATTTGGAGCCCGTTGGAGATGTTGTTTAACTGGAGCTGCCCCAAAACTCGAGGGAATGGTAAATATTTGGTGTTAATCAGAACATTCTGCCTTTCCTGTTCGCTGATGAACAATTCCAAGGGGAATTCTTTGATGTGTTCCGTGTTAAATTCCGGTCCAAAACGGACAGAAAGGTCGGGAGCAGCGGTGGAATATTTAAGGATCTCTGGCTTGGGAGTGCCTTTGGAGCAGCTCCGACACCTGCAGGAAGAAACAAAACATAATAAAAGTTCAAACTGGTTGTTTTTGGAAGCAGCAGCTGGTTTGAGATGGATCGGCTGGAAAGGGAAGTGCTGCTTTCCCGACGATTTTGGGGATGTTTTCCGGGGCCTTTCATGGAAAGCCAAAAGACTCGGAGCTTCAGGGAGAGCTTGGAAAGTCCTGGGGCAACAAACAAAGAGCAGGAAAAGCGATCCCGGCTCATTGTTTTTGGAAGGGAGCTTTGCTTTGGGGTTTGGAGGAGCTGCCAGGGGTTGTTTGTCCTCCCGAAGCTGAAAAGTTGGAGGCAGGGACTTAAAAATGGGAAAATAAAGGAAAGCAGGGAGCAGATTTGCAGGTGACACCAAACTGGGGGGGAGTGTTGATCAACTGGAGGGCAGGAGGGCTCTGCAGAGGGACCTGGAGAGGTTGGATCCATGGGTTGATTCCAAGGGGATGAGGTTCAAGCAGGCCAAGGGCCGGGTCCTGCCCTTTGGCCACAAGAAGCCCCGGCAGCTCCAGGCTGGGCCAGAGGGGCTGGAGAGCAGCCAGGCAGGAAGGGAGCTGGGAGTGGGGATGGACAGGGAGCTGAACAGGAGCCAGAGTGTGCCCAGGGGGACAAGAGGGCCAATGGATCCTGGCCTGGCTCAGGAACAGTGTGGCAGCAGGAGCAGGGCAGGGATTGTGCCCCTGGACTCAGCACTGGTGAGGCCACCCCTGGAGTGCTGTGTCCAGCTCTGGGTCCTCAGCTCAGGAAGGACATTGAGGTCCTGGAGCAGGTGCAGAGGAGAGCAACGAGGCTGGGGAAGGGACTGGAGCACAATTCCCATGAGGAGAGGCTGAGGGAGCTGGGGCTGTTCAGCCTGGAGAGGAGGAGGCTCAGGGGAGACCTCCTCACTCTCTGCAACTCCCTGACAGGAGGGGGGAGCCAGGGGGGGGTTGCTCTCTTCTCCCAGACAACTCTCAGCAAGACAAGAGGGCTCAGGGTCTTCAGCTGTGCCAGGGGAGGTTTAGGTTGGATATTAGAAAGAATTTCTTTCCAGAGAGGGTGCTCAGCCATTGGAATGGGCTGCCCAGGGAAGGGGTGGATTCTCCATCCCTGGAGGTGTTTAAGGACAGACTGGATGTGGCATCAGTGCCATGGGCTGGGAACCACGGCGGGGTTGGATCAAGGGTTGGACTTGATGATCTCGGAGGTCCCTTCCAACCCAGCTGATTCTGTGATTCTATTCTGTAAAATGTGAGCTGAAGAGTTTGGCCAAGGCTCAAGGGGGGGGAAAATCAGCTCTGATTTTCTGCACAAACTTGTTCTGGTTGCACCAGGCAGGAGGGTTTTGTCCATAGAGCAGGAAATTTGGGAACAAACTGCTCCTTCCTGTTTGGGGGGGTGTCTCTCCTAAAAAGAACCAGAGCCCTTTATCTCCTTCCCTGTGTTCAAAGCTTGGATGAATTTATTTTACCTCTGTTTGTGGCCTTTTTTTTGGATTCTTAATCCTGTGTTTGTGTATTCCTGGATGTTTCCAGCTGCTTCCAGATGAGCAGAGCTGAGTGTGCCGTGCTCCAGATGGGCAGAGCCCTCAAAATAAGTGGGAATCCAGATCCTATTTTAATATATTCTTATTAAATATATTTTTAAAAATATTTTTAATATGTTCCTATTAAAAACCTATAATATGTAATATATATAAATATATAACATATATAATATATTACATATATTATATAAATATATTAATATACTTATATATAATACATATAAACTTTTTTAATATATTCCTATTAAAAACCTATAATATGTATATATTTATATATAATACATATATCTTTTAAATCTATTCCTATTAAAAACTTATAATATGTATGATATACATACTATATATATTATAAATATATATAATATATATTTATATTTAATACATATAAATATTTTTTAAAATATTCCTATTAAATATATTTTAAAATATCTTTTAAATCTATTCCTATTAAAAACTTATAATATGTATGATATACATAATATATATATTATAAATATATAATATATATTTATATTTAATACATATAAATATCTTTTTAATATATTGCTATTAAATATTTTTTAAATATCTTTTGAATATATTCCTATTAAAAAACTATAATATATATGATATATATGATATGTAATATATATTATTTAATATTTATATTTATATATTATATATAAATATCTTTATAATATATATAATATATATTTATATATAATATATGAATATCTTTATTATATATATAATATCTTTTTATGTATAATATATATTAATATCTTTTGAATATATTCCTGTTAAAATGTGCTCTGGTGCAAATTTTCCTTTGTATCTGTGGATTGGTGGTTTGTTGATCCACAGGGATGATTCCACCATGGAATTCTGGCAAAAATTGGCTGGAGCCTTTTTTTAGGACTGTTCAGCAGGAAAATCCTGACTGGAAATCCCACAGGGATATCAATCCCTGGGAAAAGAGGGAAGGAGATGTGATAAAAAGAATTAAGGATTAGAGTTATCCAGATAAATCATCACAATGTAAAGGGAAGTTTAGATCGTTTGGGAGGAGATTCCTGGAATTCCACCTCCACTATCCATGAATTCAATGGTTGACTCCCAACATAGCTTTTCCTAGGAGAGGAATTCCTTCCAGTGGATCCATTTGGAAAACTGTTGGCAAACAAAGCATGTTCCAGTTGGAGATACCTCCTTCAGCTCCAAATTAAACAGGATGGAAAAATGGCAGGATTTAGGAAGTTTCCTGTGGAAACACAGGGATTTTTCTCCTGGAAAATAAAACCTTACAAAAAGTAAACTAAACCCACCATTTTTCCTCTCATTCCTGCTTTTTTTGGGGTGAAAAGAATCCTGGTGAGGCTTAGATTCAAAAATCAGGGATTCTTTCCTGATCCTTTCTTAGGGAAAGGACCCCAGGAAAAGGGAATGTCTCCCTGAGGGTGAGATGGACTCTGGGAAGTCTCTGCTGGACTTCTGAGCCTCAATCTTAGTGGGAATTTAGTGGGAATTTTAACTGGGAATTTGGGTGTGGGGACAAAGCAAAGGGTGGTATCAGACTGTGGGATTGAGGGATAAAGGAGCAGGAAAAGGCAGTGAAAAAAGGAGTGGAAAATCGAGGAAAAGGCAGCGTGAGCTGAGGAACAGCCTGGAAAAATCCAGTTGGAAGTTCAGTTTCTTGCATCCCAACAGTGAGATTCCAGCCCCAACAGTGAGATTCCAACCCCAACAGTGAGATTCCAGCAATGCTTCCCAACGTTTTAGCACATGAGGAGAAGCTGGGTTTGGAAATGGATGGATCCTGGGAAGCTGGGAATGGGTTTGAGGAGTGAAATAACAGCGGGCTGGATTCCGGATTAAGGAATTAAGGATTTGCTTTGAACTGGTGGGATAATAGGACCTTCCCACCGTTTTTCCCTGTTCTAACCTTCCCTTCTCCCTGCCAGGTTGTTGACAGAGCTGGAATCTCCTTCCTGGTGGCCCTTCAGCAGCAAACTCTGGAAAGCCCCTCTGGAATCCAAGCCCAAGGAAGTGGCCGCAGCTTCCGAGCCCAAGAACCAGGAAGGAATCATCCTGAGAATTCCAGTCATCATCACCCACAGAACAGACTCCAATGCCAAGCCAGGAAAACTCACACTCTTTGCCTCTGGCCTGGAGATCAGTGACTGCAATTCCCAGGTGATCCACAGGTTTGAATCCCGGGATGTGGATGATATCCGGGTGCACACTCCCTACGAGATCAGCGTCCGCCAGAGGTTTATTGGGAAGCCCGACATGTCCTACAGGCTCCTGTCAGCCAAGATGCCAGAGGTCATTCCCCTCCTGGAGATGCAGTTCAGCAAGAAGATGCAATTCCTGGAGGATGCCCTGGGATTTGTGGGAGCCAGGAAGTCTCCTCAGGTGGATTTGGGGACGTCCATCTGGCAGGCGGGTAAGTGGGACAGGGAATCCCTCTGGAAGCAGCAGATTTGGCTCCAAAGGTTTCCAAGGGTTTTCCAACCCCAAAATATTTCCAAGGCAAATCCTCTCGTCCCTGTGCCAATGGTGGTGATGATAAAATCCAAGGAATTGTGGCCAGGAAGTCTGCTCAGGTGGGTTTGGGGACTCCATCTGGCAGGCGGGTAAGTGGGACAGGGAATCCCTCTGGAATTCAGCAGCTTTGACTCC